GAAACTATTAAATTGAGACCCCTGATGATTCCTACTACCTGGAAACTATCCTGTTAAGGAATTCTTCTCAATATTTCTAAGTATATTGATGGTTCTGGGTAAGACTGGTATGGGGTGGGGAACAGAGCTTATCTTTAAGATGTCCATAGTACAATGACAGGATTTGCTTTACAATAATGCAGTAATAAAGGGAGATGGAGACTCAGAGAAGGTGGCAGTACAGCCAAAGCAAGAGTCAAGACTTGTTGAGGATGAGTGATGGGTATATGGGAGTTCATTGATGTTTGAAAAATTCAAAACCATGGCAAATCACCTGGAAAATACCTCTTTAAAGTGTCAAAAGATCAAGGTGTCACTTTGGAAACTAAGGTGTACGTGGTCCGAGCCATGGGATTTTCAATCACCTCATCTGCATAGGAAAGCTGGACAATGAATACGGAAGATTAAAGAGCTGGTGCCTTTGGATAGTGGTGTTGATGAAGAATAGTAAATATCCCGTGGGCGCCAGAATAATGAACAATTCTGTCTTGGGAGAAGGACAGCCAGAGTGATCCTGAGAAGTCAGTCACTTACTCTCATGGACTGCGGACATGGAATTTCTCAGAATCACTAGCAAAAGGGCCTCTATGAATTTGTTGAAAAATAATAGCCCTGATTAAACTATGGAACTGTATAATGTGTGGAGTATGTGCCAATAAAACTGTTTTAAAAAATAAGAAAAGAAAAAAGATTCTGTATTGGACTGCTAGCTGCAAGGTCAGCAGTTAGAGACCACCAGCTGCTGTGCAGGAGAAAGACAAGTCTTTCTACCCTTGTAAAGAGTTACAGTCTTGGAAACCCACATGGGCAGTTCTACCCTGTTCTACGGGGTTGATAAACAGTGGAATCAGCAGAGTTGAGTTGTTTAACTCCTTAGAAACAAGCATAAAAACATAAGTTCTAAAAAACAAAGACACCTGTACAATCGTACATGAAAAATTCTAACAAACCTGCTACAGCTCAAAGTAAGTCATAAGGCTTCCAGGGAGTTCAGATGAAGAAACCATGAGACATACAAGGAGGGTCAAAAGGCTCATGAAAAACAGAGTTAGGATAACAGAATTTTTGCATGAACTTTTCAAGCTCCCTCAGGTAATTAAATACGAAACACTGAGAAAAACTAGAATTTGTAGGGTATAATAAATGTGTGTAAACACATACATATTTTTAGTTCCATGTGATATATATATATATATATATATATACAATATATAGGTATATATGTATAAATACATAGATACATACCCCAAATTATCACTTTTCTAAGAATACAGCCCCCTTCCCCCTAGGGGGAGGAACAACAGAAACTGTAGGGGAAGGGAGACAACGGTCGGTGTAAGATGAAGATAATAATAATTTATAATTTACCAATGGGTCCCGAGGTGAGTGGGGGTACGGATGGGGGGAGAAGGGGCTGATGCCAAGGACTCAAACAGAAAGTAAATGTTTAGAAAATAAAGATGGCGACATACGTACAAATATGCTTGATTCAATTGATGTATGGATTGTTAGAAGCTGTAAGAGGCCCCAATAAAATGCTCTTAAAAAAAAAAGGATAGAGCCCCAAAAGATTAAAAATTCCGCATTCTGCTTATTTCAGACCTGTAATGAATTTTCGTCCTAAGATATAATCATTACACCCAAATTATGGAGGACACTGGAATCATGGTTTTCAAATGAACATTTGGTGGTGAGTTCCAGCAAGTACAAGCATAATCATCAAAATGGGAAAGTCTCCCAACCTAGGAAAAGCAGAATAAGGGTGGAGATACTGTCTGGTTTGTTCACTGCTATGACCCCAGTATCTAAAAAATGGAATTACGTATGGGGCTAAAACATTTAGATACAAGGACGAATGACTAAAAAGCAGAGCAAAACCATTTTGAATAGTTTTAAGTTCTCTGCTAGTTGATATATATATATATATTCAAAACCAAAGAAAAAACCTTTTCAACATGTAAATCCATAGACTTACCAAAAGAAGAGCAACTGTCCTGAGTTGTCTTAAAGCTGCACGCGTAAGTGTGAGCAGGAACATAAGCCGCAGATGTGTTCAGAAGTGGGTCCCGAACAATGACATTATAAATCACACCTTGTACCCAGAGAGAGGAGAAGTAAACACTTGTCTTCTCATTAGCTGTGAGGGTAGCCACCTGACGACATAATAATAATGTGTGATTAGTATATAATTTTTTTTAAAAATGATTGTTTTGATTCCATGTGACATTTTATTATAATACACACCAATCCATTAAGTTTTGTAGAAGGGCCATCCCATACAGTCTGTGTATAATAACATGAACAAGATTTTACACAAAAGTTTTTATACGGTGTCAAATGTTAACTGAAGTAGATGATAGGTCACAATGTAAAGCTAGTTAGGACAAGGTCATGTTTTCGCTCTCAGTTGCTAAACTGTAAGCAGCATCTGTGCAGGAGCTGGATTTATCTTGCTCACTCCTCTTTTCTGACTTCTCATTCAAAGGTTTTTTCAGATAGTAACATATATAACACAAGAGACAGATGCCCTATATAACCACAATAAATAGTTCCTACTAATATGAGCAAAGTAAAATATCAGAGTTTCAGAAATTATGAACCTTCTAGAATACTTCCACAGTTTCAAATTATCCTGTCGAACCACTTTGAAGTTATTACTACTAAGGCATTTTACTTCTAAATAACTCTTGTGCACATCCTAAATCCATGTTTTTCCAAAGTTAATGTGCCTGGGGGATATCATAAAATGAAGTTTTATAGTTTTGTAGTTTTTTATATATTTTGTAGTTCTGATGTGATACCTGAGACTCTGGTTTTATAACAAGATTCTTATGTCAATACCCTTCATCCATTTTCCACACTTTGGGTAGCAAGATACTAAACATATAGCTGTTATTTTATAAATGCCCTGGCTGATCTAAGAAAATTAACAGTAATTTCTTATTACCTATCATGTGCTATTCAAAAATTTCCAAAGGCTTTGACCGCTTTTAGCCAAGTTCTTGGCCAGCAGCCAACTAAGCACGTTTCCGTAGGCTTTCCGTCTCTGTGCACCTGAAGCAGACCTTCTGTCACTCTCTCTTTTAAAATGTGTGAGTTTTACATAAAGAGCGATTGTACATTAAGAACACGTCCCAGTCCGGGCCAGATCAAGTCCATAAGTCTGATATTAGCCCAGATGTCCGATACCAGTCTGTATATTCCTCTTCAGACTCATGCAGCACATGCAATGACGCCGAATGCAGGAAGATCACAAGCCAGTGGGTGGAAAATCTCGTGGATCCAGTCATGGTGGAAGCATCTGGAAGCTGGCATGGGTCTCCGCATCGCTCCTCCAGCTGCAGGGCTCTAGCTCTATCAGCGCAACCCATCACTCTCATCTACTCCACCGTCCAGCAACACAGTGATTTCTGAGATTAAATCCAATGTCTTAGAGAATATTCCACAATCAGAATGTGTTACCCAATCATTTTTAAGGTGTCCAACTTGGTCCTTTATCACCTCTATTTCTTATACACAGGAAACCTCAACAGACTGAACTTAAGTTAAGCATTTTTGTAAGAATACTCCATAGACGGCAGTAGTGATCTCAAGCTGTATTACATAGTAGGCACATAAAGCACACTGATCCACTTGGACAAAGTGAAGAGCCCCAGATCACATCCACCTTAAAGTCATTTTTCTTTTCTCTTTACAGGAAATTAAAATCAATCTGGGGGGTGATCCTTAGGTACCCTGGGACAATCCAGTTTCTCAATAATCTTTCACCTGATGAGGAATGCCTGAATTACTTCAGGGAGGGTCACAAAATACAGATTTCCTAGCTCTATTACGCTGTCTGGACGTATTGGCTGGCACCTGAAACCCCAACAAATGAACTAGAAAGACATAGAAGAGAAGGGTTCTTAACAGCGAACAAGACCATCGTACAAAAAAACAATTGGATTCCTCGACTCTTACAAGGAGAACTCCACAAAGGAAATCAAGGAAACAAAACCAATACCATTTCTTCTTCTTTAAAAAAAAAAAAAAATCATTTTATTGGGGGCTCACCAAGACCATTTCTAATGACCCTACAAAGCCCTGGTGGTGTAGTGGGCTATGTGCTCAGAAATTCACAACCTGCTGCTGCTCTGGGGCCTAAGAAGAGGTTTTCTACTGCTTTGAAGCGTTCCAGTCTCAGAAGCCCTACCTGGCAGTTCCACCCTGTACTGGAGGGTGGCTGTGAGTCGGAATCAACTCGACAGCAGTGGCTAACAAAAGGATCGAAGACCTTTAGATAAAGCACTTGGTTAGATTTAGGACTAAATCTACCCAGGAATATAAAAGGCGTATACATGAAAAATATATATAAAACACTACTGCAAGGAACCAAAAGAGAACTACATAAATGGAGGAATATACCATGGTCATGGACTGAGATACTCAACATTATAAAAATATCAATACTACCTACAATGCTCTATAAATACAATGCAATCCCATTTCAAATTCCAACATCACTCTTTAATGAAATGGAAAAACTAGTTTCCTGTTTTATATGGAAAGAAGACCTGAAAAGCTAAAGCATTTGTGAAGAGAGAGAACAAAGTAGAAGGCTTCACCCTCCTGGACCTCAGAATTTGCGATACACTCACAGTAATCAAAGCTGCCTGCATGGAGTGGAGACCCGAAGCCCATCTGTAGACAATTGGACATACCCCCACAGAAGGGTTATAAGAAAGGATGACTCAACCAAGGTGCAGTATAGCACCAATGAAACACACATCATTCCTCTAGTCCCTGAATGCTTCCTCCCTCTACTACCATGACCCAGTTCTACCTCACAAATCTGGCTAGACTGGAGAACACACATTGGTACAGATAAGACCTCTTGACACATAGAACTGGAAAAGTGGTGAGAGTAGCAGTAACATGAGGGTATGGGCATGGTCTGGGAGGGGGAAGGGTGAGAAAGGGGGAACCCATCACAAGATTGGATACATAGTTCCACCCCTCTGAAGGGGCCAAATAACAGAAATGTGGGTGAAGGGAGACAACGGACAGTGTAAGATATGAAATAATAATAACAATTGATCAAGGATAGGAGGGCAGGAGGGAGGGGAAAAAAGAGGAGCTTATACCAAGGGCTCAAGAAGAAATGCTTTGGAAATGATGATGGCCACAAATGTACAAATATGCTTGATACAATTGATGCATGGAATGTTATAAGAGCTGTTAAGTGCCCCCAATAAAATGACTTTAAAAAGCAAACAAACTACCTGGCACTGGCTACAACTACATGTACTAGACCAATGGAATAGAACTGAGAACTCAAAAGGAAGTCCATGGGGCTCTGGACAGCTTAAATTGTAGCCCAATCGAGGAGAGAGGCTCTATAACAAATGATATTGACAAACTGGATGTCCATTACATAAAAATGAAACTGGATCCATACTTCACACTAGACACAAACACAGAGAGAAAAAATACTAATTCACAGTGGATTAAAGACTTAACTGTACAGTTCCTAGAAGATAACATGGATAGCGTAAAAAACATAAGTAAAACTGTACAAATAACAGAAGATAAAACTAGTTAAGGGGACTTCCTAAAATTAAACACTTTTGCTTATCAAAAGACTTTCCCAAGAACAAAAACAAACTAC